ATAAAAAAAAAAAAACAATGCTATAATGCATCCATATCCTTGTGCAGAAACCTAGTATACTTGTACTATTAATTCTTTGAGATAAATTGCCAGAAGTGGGATTGCTGAGTGAAAGGTCTTTGCCCCTTTTGTAATAATTTCAAAATATATCTTTCCAAGCTAATCTTTGCAAAGCATGTACCAGTATTTTCCCACTGATGGTGTGTAGAGTGATCTTTTCTCCATACCCTGTCCAAAGAGAGACTTTTTTTCTTTTTCTTAAGACAGTGTCAGTCTGTTGCCCAGGCTAAAGTGCTATGGCATCAGCCTAGTTTGCAGCAAGCTCAAACTCCTGGATTCAAGTGATTTTCCTGCCTCAGTGTTTAATCATTAATGAAGCTGAAATTTATCATGGGTCACTGGCTTTTTAAGTTTCTTTTTTACAAATTTTTAGTCCACCTTCCTAGGTGAACATTTTTATTTTTCCTGTTGATTCATCAAATCTCTATTAACATTAGAATTTGTCATACATAGTGGGAAAAATGTATAGTGGTGATAAGGAGGTGTGCTTACCTTGTTTCTAATTTTGATGGCTATGTCTAGTGTGTCACTTTAAACTTGATGATAGGTTGGAATTAGATCAATAGAAAAAAAGATATTTCTATTTCGCTTGGTTTTTTTTATTTTTTTGCTGTTTTAGGCTGGGGCCAGGCTTGAACCTGCCACCCCTGGTATGTGGAGCCAGCGCCCTACTCCTTGAGCCACAGGTGGCATCCTTCACTTGTGATTTTTAAAAATTAAAAAACAAATGCATATTTTATCAGATGCTTTTTTAATGACAAATTAAAGTGACATAGCTTATTAGAGAACCATCCGTGCATTTCCAGTATAAACTGTGCTTAATTATGGTATGTTCTTTATATACTGTTGGAATTTTGGATTTCTGTTGAGGGCAGGGGTAGACCATCTTGATAAGGCTTTGTTATTTAGATGAGTTAGCTTGTTAAAGTGCATTAAAAAATATTATTTTTCGGCTCAGTGCCTATGGCTCAAGTGGCTAAGGCTCCAGCCACATACACCCAAGGTGGCAGATTCGAATCCAGCCCGGGCCGGCCAAACAACAATGATGGCTACAACCAAAAAATAGCCGGACGTTGTGGCGGGCGCTCACAGGAGACTTGCTTGAGCCCAGGAGTTGGAGGTTGCTGTGAGCTGTGATGCCATAGCGCTCTACCCAGGGGGACAGCTTAAGGCTCCTGTCTCAAAATATATATATATATATATAGTTTTTCCTCTTTTCTATGAGAATTTTCTTTTTTTCTCTTTTCTTTTTTTTTGAGGGGGGAACAGAGTCTCCCTCTTGTCACCCCATAGAGTGCTGGGATATTTTAGGTCACAGCAACCTCAAACTCAGGGTCAAGCGATTCTCTTGCCTCAGCCTCCAGAGTAGCTGGACTATAGGCATCCACTGCAATGCTGGCTAGTTTTTCTATTTTTAGTAGAGATGGGGGTTTCACTCTTGCTTGGGCTGGTCTCTAACTTCTGAGCTCAGGCACTCAGTCACCCACCTCGGCCTTCCAGAGTGCTAGGATGACAGGCCTGGGCACTCTGAGAATTTTTTTTTTTTAAAAGGGTTTGAGGGTGGGTAGCTCACACCTGTAATCCTAGGCACTCTGGGAAGCTGATGTGTGTGGATTGCCTGAGCTCAGGAGTCAGAGACCAGCCTGAGCAAGAGTCAGACCTGACCCCCCCCATCTCTACTAAAAACAGAAAAACTTACCAAGGGTGTCAAAAGTGAGACTCAAAAAAAAAGAAAGAAGTTTTTCTTTCTCCTTTTCTACCAGTGTGTATATATGTGTGCCCCCTTCTCTCTCTCTATCTCTCTCTCTCTCTCACACACACACAGACACACATTCACAGGATGACAAAACATAGGTGTTTCTTTACAACCGTGAAGAAACTCCCAGTGAAACTGAGTCAGGACTTGAGTGTTCTTTCTCTTCTTATTTTGTAAAAATTTATATTTCTCTAGAAAGTTAGTCATTTCATCAAGTTCTACATTTATTCCCTTAGAGTTTATATGTGGTGTTTTTTTAATCATCTAGTCATAAATTTCCATGTCTGATGTATACTTTTGCTTTCTTGCTTTTCTCTTGCTCAGCTTTGCTGGGATTGATTATTTGGATTTCACTCCCACCCCCTTCAAGAATCTACTCTTGGATTTGCTTGAAGTTTTTATTCTAATTTGTATTTTCTATTTTCTTAATTTTAGCTGTGTTATTAGCTCCATTCTGGTGCAGTGGGTATAACTTTGATAACTACAAATTAGAGGCTTTTTCCTGGGCTAATTTATACAGATTTCATTTTGCTTACCTATAGACATAGTAATTATTAAATAATGTTTTCAAAGGTGCTGACATCTCAGAAACATTAATAGTGATAAGTTTTTTCACTGTTTAGTTATCTTGATCACTTGGTTAGCCAAATATGACAGGGAATATATTACTGTAAATAGCAGTGATGAGAATTGGCTCACCTGGCTCGGCGCCTATAGCTCAACCAGCTACGGCACCAGCCACGTACACCTAAGGTGGCGGGTTCGAATCCCCAGCCCAGACTCGCCAAAAACAACAATGACGGCTGCAACCAAAAAATAGCCGGGCGTTGTGGCGGGCGCCTGTGGTCCCAGCTACTTGGGAGGCGGAGGCAGGAGACTCGCTTGAGCCCAGGAGTTGGAGGTTGCTGTGAGCTGTAATGCCACGGCACTCTACCCAGGGGGACAGCTTGAGGCTCTGTCTCAAAAAAAAAAAAAAAAAAAAAGAATTGGCTCACCTGTATTATTTACCATTCCAACATTGCTCTTTTCAAAATTCATTTGAAGGTATAATGACAAAAAAGAATTGCTTCTTATATGTAATATAATTTATTTTTAATAATGCTATTGATGGCTAAGATTACATTCTTTACTGTCAAATTTTCACTTATCCTAAGCATTCATTTATATTTTTGGTCATAATTTCAAATAACCACAAATTGTCGATTGTGGATGTTTCATTTATAATTACATATAACACACACACACACACACACACATATAGTGGTTAAACAATCCCTGCTAACCAAATCTTAAAGTACTTTGCTTACTTTGTTAGCTTTGAGTGCCACCTGCTGGCTGGGGGCTAGGGCATGATGGTCTTAAAGACGTTTTTACACTCTTAAAGTGATTGATAAATTTTATCTATACTATCCCGATTATGTAGGCAGCTAATTTATAGAATCCAAGTGAAAACAAGACTTCCTATAATAGCTGATGTCTTTATTCCTATTTACCAAATTACTGTTGTCTCAAGGATCATTTTACTTTTGTTAGTAGAATGTGAGAATTAGAGGAGACATCAGGTATCTTTTTTAAATACTCATTGTTCAAACAATGAAACTGAGATCCTGAAAAGACTTACTTTACTAAACAATTAAAATCAAGTTATTCCCAAACAATAATTTTTCTCTTCAGTTTTGGTGGCACAGTCACAGATTTCTGAACATTTCTGTTCAAATTTTGGGCCACATAATTCTTTATTGTGGGAGACTGTCCTTTGCATGGAGTACACCTCAGTTGTAACAACCAAAAGTGTTTACAGGGATTGTTAGATGCCTCTGGGGTTCAAAATCTTCCCTGGTTTAGAATCAGTGCATTATTATAACCTTTTCTAATCTGGTGCTGTTTTTGGTGAGATATTAAACTTCTAAATTAAAATTTATCCATACATTATGGTGCAGAGACAGACAATACAATAACTAGTTTATCAAATAACATATCCATTGTTAATCTACAAGTGAAGAGGGAATTGAAAAGGAAAAAAAAGTCTACAGTAATTTCAGAACTACATTTTATTTTGTTTTGGATTTTTAAGTAAGCTTTTTTTTTTTTTGAGACAGAGCCTCAAGCTGTCCCCCTGGGTAGAGTGCCATGGCATTACAGCTCACAGCAACCTCCAACTCCTGGGCTCAAGCGAGTCTCCTGCCTCCGCCTCCCAAGTAGCTGGGACCACAGGCGCCCGCCCCACAACGCCCGGCTATTTTTTGGTTGCAGCCGTCATTGTTGTTTGGCAGGTCCGGGCTGGGGATTCGAACCCACCACCCTAGGTGTACGTGGCTGGCGCCCTAGCCGGTTGAGCTATAGGCGCCGAGCCTAAGTAAGCTATTTGAGAGGGGATTGGTAAATTGTCTGTAGGGAAGGGAAATCTAATCAGATTCTCAGTAGTTAATACGCAGCTTGTGTATTAGTAATATTTTCCCAGATAGAAAAAGCTAAAATTACAAGGCATTTTCAAAAAGAAAAGCTCTAGAAATAATTTTTATTATCTTCCATTTAATTGTCACAAAATATCACTGGACCATAATTAAAGGAAAGAATTAGTAAGTATTCAAATAAAAACCCAAAATAACAAGTGTAAGCACATATGAATAGAGAAAAGCAAAATACTCATTATCAGTGATATGACAATTTGGATTTCATCTCTAATTAGTATAACAGTTTGTAGAATCTTAAATTTATCATTAACTTTTGGTGCCTACAAAAGCAAGAACTCTGTAGTTTCTCATTGTTAATTTCTATAAGATTAAGCTCACCTTTTAAAAGTCAGTTGGTTTCTTTTGTTGTTGTTTCTGGTTTCTTTCACAAACAGGTGTATGTTTGTAATAGCTTTCTCCCTCATACAGCCTTTTGTACTTATTTCTTATAACCAGTAGGCATGTTACAAATGAATTTCAAATGAGTGATGTCATAAAGTAGCTTTCTGAAGTTCCAGTTAGTTGTTAATAAAGTATCTTCAAAATCAGTCACTTAAAATGATAAAAACCAGGGGAGAAACTTCAAAAAAATCTACTGGAAATAAATTCAAATAACAGGACACTAACCTACATTGGCATATCACTTTACATTTTACACAGTGAAATCACAGATGTGCTCTTCATTTCATTATCAAAGCAGTTTTCCTAGAGATAACACAGCTGGCAAGTATAAGTGGCTTAGGGACATGAACCTAGATCTCCTGACTAGATCAGTTTTTGTTTTACTAGTCCATACTGTTTCTCCAATATCTATAATGTGTAAGTTTTACTTTAGAAATAATTTTACATTAACCTTAGAGTCTACTGTGAGAAGTCTAAAGACAGACTTCTGATCAGAAACCCAGAAAAATAAGTTACACATATGGGAATTTATCTGAAAATAAAGATTGTATCATTTATCATCTCACTGTGAAAATTAAAATTATCGGTTGGACTGATTTGGTGTTATTCTAGAAAAAAATGTTATTTGAAAATATGCTTTGAATAACCTATCATTAGAGAAGAGGATTATGACCCCTTTATTATAGAAGCTGTGATAATTTGAGCAAATAATGTTTTATGATCCATTTCCAGAGTAAAGCATGCATACTAACACAGGGAGCAATAAACTATAAAATTTATGTTAATTTTGGTGTATAGAAAGGCGAAGCAAGACAAATTGGTTTAAAACTTTGAAGTTCGTTTTCTTTTTGGCACAGCTTTCTTTCGTTTTTTTTTAATTTACATGCTTTTTATTAATGTATACAGCAAAATAAAAAGGTGTTTTATCAATATAGAACCAGGATAATGTTAATAACCTTAGATTTTTTTAATCTGAACCTTCTATTTTTTTTTTTTTACCAATTCACATAGTATTTTCATAAAATATAGAATCTGTATTCTTCCACAGTATTGTGTAAGAAATGGTAATGAGGAGCGCTGGATTTAAGAAAGTTAAAATTTTCATGCTGGTCTATTCTGGTTACTTTAAATCCTGACCCTGAACTAAGCTGTATTGGTAACTAATTTACAATGGAAGTTATTTATATAAAATACTTTATACTTTTGAGTACAAAATTACGTTTTACATTCTTTTTTGCCAGTATATCTAGTTATGGTGTCTATTTTCTGAATTACAGTCTGCTGCAAATCCTGAGACTCCAAACTCAACTATCTCCAGGGAGGCTAGCACCCAGTCCTCATCATCTACAACCAGCCAAGGCTATGTTTTACCAGAAGGCAAAATCATGCCAAACACCGTTTTTGTTGGTGGAATTGATGTTAGGGTACTGTATCATGTCTCATTTACGCCTTGAAATACATTGTAAATAATGGGATTTGGGCTGTGTTAACTTAAGATTTTTTGCACTTCATGAAAGTTTAGAATTGATTCTTTTGTTCAACGAATAGGTGCTAAATGTATTCTGAATCAAAAACTATAGGTAATTTGGAGATACTTGGGGGGAAACTTCCATATCATTATAAACCTCTTTTATAGTAGAATTAAAAGTTCTCAATGTTGAATTTTTACTCTTGAGGTTCAACTCTTTTCCATAGATGGATGAAACCGAAATTAGAAGTTTCTTTGCTAGATATGGTTCAGTAAAAGAAGTGAAGATAATCACGGACCGAACTGGTGTGTCCAAAGGGTAAGTAGAATGCATATTTATTATAAATTATCAAAATATCTGAACTCTGGCACCTGTCCATTCAGTATCAAAGAGGAAGACTTTAAAACTAACACTTACATAAATGAAGTTTATTGCTTTGTTAATTTCTTCCCTGTAGAGGATAAAAGTTTGTTGCCAGTCTTTTAATCATTTTCCTAATGTTCATATTTAAATCTTTTTCTGTCTTTCTTTTCACCCAAGTGAATTAATCAGTTTTGTTAGTGAATTGTTTTCTTTGCCATATCTTAAATTTTATTTAGTTTAATTATTTCATAGACTACTAGAAATTCCAAACCATGTACTGTATAGTGCACTTATACTTCATTTATCTATTTTCCTAGCTATGGATTTGTTTCATTTTATAATGATGTGGATGTGCAGAAGATAGTAGAAGTAAGTAATCTTATGGGAAAGTAGTATATTCAGTCATGTGTAAAATTTGGAGAAAGAGAATACTTGTATTTGGAATCACAATTTAGAGTAATTTACCTAACTTGTCAGAACCTGCTTAATTTTTACTGGTCACCTACCTTCATGAACTAGAGACAGGAAGGGTTAGAGACCCAGTGACAAAAGAGTTTTGATTAAATTTCACTTGATACTGACAGAATATCTTTGTGGTGACAAATTTTGATCTCATTATACTCATTTTTACTGGTTTTTCTGATGAAAGGAAGAACTTTAGAGAACATGGGGTTTTACTCAAATCTTGGAAGTAAAAAGACCTTGAAATTAATTCTGGTTTTATTACTATTTTATTTTTAGTCACAGATAAATTTCCATGGTAAAAAGCTGAAACTGGGCCCTGCAATCAGGAAACAAAATTTATGTGAGTAAAAAAAGAAAGTGTTCTTGCTTAACGTTTAAAGAAGTTTCAAAGAAATAAAAATGGGCTTTGTTGTCTTTTTACTTTTTAAAAAGGTGCTTATCATGTGCAGCCACGTCCTTTGGTTTTTAATCCTCCTCCTCCACCACAGTTTCAGAGTGTCTGGAGTAATCCAAACACTGAAACTTATATGCAGCCTCCAACCATGATGAATCCTATAACTCAGTATGTTCAGGTAAGAATTGCCTATGTTCCTGTTCTTTCATGTACCCTCTGGGAAATTATATCTACTATTTCCATGATAAGTGGTAATATAGTCCCTGTTTTTAATACTTCGGGTTATGGAAATCTGTTGCTTTTGTTAGAAATCTCTCATTCTTAATGTTACTCCTTTTATAAGTTAAAAGTTTGTTTCTATATAGTTTATCTTCGAACTGACTCCTGTAGCCACATAGAACAAATCTCTTCCTTTTTTTCCTTCTGTGTAACAACTCCTTAAAGCATTTGAAAGCACTTCCCTCGTGTGTCTGCATAGTTTATTTCTCTCTAATATTAGCATGTCTAGCTATTCTTTATTTGCAAGTTTTCAGATGCTTCCTCATATAGATAAATTGCTGACTCCAGATATATTCTGGTTCTGGAAGGGGTAAATTGCTGATACCTTTTACCATATCTATAAACTACGAGCTCCTGTCATTTAATTTGTCTTAGCCTACTTTAATATTTTAAGTGGTATTTGATATTATCTCTATGGATAAATGACATTTTTTTGAGTTCATTTTACTTTCTTCAGTTTAAAAAACATTTTTTTTTTGCTAGAAAAGTAACAAAATAGTACAGTAGTTTTGCAGTGTCTCTCATATGTTTACATTTTCCATTTACTGAAAAGTTGGGTATTATCTTTTCTTATTTTTCCTGTTCTAAACATGACAAGAAAAAAAAATCCCTACTTGTTTCAAACATTTACTGTGAGCTATTACTTAATGTGGTATTTTCATGTATGTTGCTACTTAAATATTTTCAACATATTTTCAACCAGTAAGTATTGAGACAGGTAAGTCATTGTATTGTCTTCCAGTTTTGAATTATATACTGCCCTTAATTTTTAGTAATGAAATACAGAAAAAGACATAAAGTCTGTAGGAGTACGTTACTATACATTACTTTTATGATATCAAAGGAATACAAAACTGTCTAAAAGTATTTTTACAAAGAAATAGTTTATGTATTCATTAAACTTACATAAAAATCTGTCTTTTAATGAAAACTATATTTTCTAGAAAAATGAATGAGAGACTGCTGTTATTTTGCATTTGTCCTAATCTCTCTCTTTATTTTCTTTATTAAATCATAGCTGTGTACATTAATGCAATCATTGGGTACAATGTGCTGGTTTTACACACAATCTGAAATGCTTTCATCAAACTGGTCAACATAGCCTTCGTGGCATTTGCTTAGTCATTGTGTTAAGATATTTATATTCTATACCTAGTAAATTTCACATGTACCCCTGTAAGATGCACTGAGGGTGTGACCCCACCAATTACTCTCCCTCCACCCATCCTCCCCCATTAAAATCTGTCTTAATAGAAACTTATCACTAATATAAGAAAGAAATTCTGGGTGGAGATTAACTATACAAATGAGGTATACTTAGGCTGGCATAGTCATTCCCTTCATCATTTATCCCTTCCTCTTCTCTGCCCAAAAGGCTAATGTTTGACAGAGAATTATTTTTCTTCATAAAGTTAGTCATTCATTTAGAATCTCATATTATTGTGTGTAGGAAAATAATATTTTTTAATTTTCCTTTTTTGTATTGGGAATAATATTCCTTTCTAATTAAAAAAATTATCTTGTTAATCCTTTCTTTCTGTAAACTTTATTGTCAGGCATATCCTCCTTATCCAAGTTCACCAGTTCAGGTCATCACAGGATATCAGCTGCCTGTATATAACTATCAGGTAATTTAAAAGGGAACAAAATGATTTACAGGGGAATATTATTGAGTCCTTTAATTAATTTATATGTATTTCCCAAATAATTTGTCATTTAAAATAGTGAAGAGTGCCTACTATTTAAAAAAAAATTTGGAATTAGTCCAGAATTCAGACCTATATATTATTTTCAAATAATGGAATAAAATTTTTGCAGGAGTGTTCTTAGCAAGACTTTTTCTCTACAACTGTTTTGTAAGATTTGGTGCCCCATCTATATTATTACTCAATATTCTTCCATCTTTGCTGTCAAATAGCTGAAACATCTAGGCTAACTTTGAGAAATTTTTGTAGGGAGATAGGTTGAAATATTACTCAATTCTTAGAGTACAAAATTGTAATTATATCTGACTGTTTATTTTAGCTGACTACTATAAGATAGTAATTCTATGAATTTCCTTTCAAAGATAGGACTATCTATGACTATTATCATAGACCATATCTATGATAATAAATTCAAATAATTACTATTTTTTGAGTTTTCCTGAATGCCAATTCCAGAAAACTGAGGAAAAGGTGAAGCTTCTATATGAAAGTAACTTCAAATAATTAGAAACACAAAACATAAAGCATTTCTTTCTTCCATTTTGTTTCTTTTATGATAATAATAAAGTAAAGGAGTTAGCATAATGAAAACCTCAACATTGTCTTGTTCATATCTCAAAATATATAGGAATATTTAAATAATTTGTTTCTTTTTTTTTTTTTAAGATGCCACCACAGTGGCCTGCTGGAGAACAACGGAGTTATGTTATACCTCCGGTAAAGTAAATTAGCTACATCTGTACTTTCTATGCTTCATTTAAAACTATTTTCTCATTTAACTATTATAAATTTCCTGACCTTTTGCCATATCATACATGGCTATAAATATTCTTAAATTTCCCCTTGTATTATGTTCTATTACTTTCTCGTTAATTACAAACTCCCATGGGATAAACTGTGCTTGTGTTTCTCAAGTTTATGTATACTTAAGCAGTGATTTTTCTGCATACAGCATAATAACATAATCCAAGAAAGATACCATTAGTAAGGAGTTAGAATTAGCATTAGATCTGCCTCTGGCTTTGCTTCCCATAAAAAGTCTTTTGAAGAGAAATATTTTGCTGTTAGTGTTAAATAAGAAAAGAAATAAAACAAAAAGGAATGTTGCCTCTAAAACAACAGGATTGGATATTTGAAGGATAAAGGAAGAGTTAAAATTTTCAGACACACTCTTACTACTTACTAGAGTTTGTTAGAGTCCTCCTAATTCTGATTAGGTTGAAGCTTAAAAGACATTTTAAAATAAAAGGCTACCTTACTACAGTTGAACTATTGAGTTTAAAACAAAAGTTTCTGAAATAATGTAGTTGAATGTCAACATAACATACATTAAAATTTTTAATATCAGCTTACCATTTTGAAGAATAGCTGGTTTTTAAATGTATCTGAATTTCACTTTCAACAATAACACTTTTGTTATTTTAAATGTAGGCTTATACAGCTGTTAATTACCACTGTAATGAAGTTGATCCAGGAGCTGAAGTTTTGCCAAATGAATGCTCAGTTCATGAAGCTACTCCATCTTCTGGAAATGGCCCACAAAAGGCAAACATTTAATTTTGTTTATTGATATTTATATTTCATATATATGTTTTCCCAATTTTAATAATGGTTCTTTAAGAAACAAGCATCTTTCCCAAATTTAAAGATGAAAACTATAAATTATGGAGTGTAATTAATATTCAGCATTTAACTTACAGATGAAATTTCAAACACCCCCAAATTTTCAGTATATACATGTACTTTGTGATTTAGCAGTCCTTTCCTTTCTTTCAATTTCATTTATTAATCATACTTTAATACTGTATTAATATGATTGGCAGAATGCAATGGGCAGATTTCCTCAAGAATTCTAATTTTCAAAAGAGGAAATTGTATCTACTTTTTCTTTAACATTTTCTTAAACATTTACTTAACTAATATGAAACATACTCTTTATGAAATTCTAACATTAAAACTTTGACAGCAGTTTTCAAAAGTGGTAGAGTCAGTAATTATTCAGAGACTAAAATAGAGATTTTTATCATTACAGCAGATTCCTACAACAATAGTACTCTCACTTTCAAATTTGCATATGTTTTGTCAAATGTTTAGGAGTTTGGAAATAGTTGATGTGCTGGGAATTATATATAACACTGAAGGATTCTCATTAGAGCATGTGAACTTCATCCATGGTGCTTCTCAGTGGGAAAAGTTGAGAACTCCTGAACTGCCTGGTGAAAAAAAATCTCAGATTTGACAGCTGATTTTTATCTGGTTTTTTCCTGAATATTTTTTCTTAAAACATTGGCATTTACTTAGCGTTTTAATAAATTCAGCTTTTTAAACTAGTATTTATCACTGAAGTTCTAAAATAGTTTAGAAAAACTACATGCTCTGTGACATGTTGTAAGAATTATGAATTGCATCAGAATTATTTGGTAGTAAGGAAATATGTTTATTAAACTGTCCTGAAAAAGCTTATTAACAGGAGTAAAAGGAGAAATCATTTTTAGATTACTGAAAACTTCTGTGTTTCAGAAATCTGTGGACCGAAGCATTCAGACAGTGGTATCTTGTCTGTTTAATCCAGAGAATAGACTGAGAAACTCTCTTGTTACCCAAGATGACTACTTCAAGGTATGAAAGGAATAAATATGAAGAATAAAAAGAATATTCATTAGCTTTGAAGTATTTTTCCTGTGAAATATATATTTTGAGATTACTTAGAGCAGCGGTTCTCAACCTCTGGGTCACAACCCACAGGAACTGTATTAAAGAGCTGCTGCATTAGAAAGGTTGAGAATCACTGACTTTGAGTATTAAACTGTTAGCATTTCACTGGTAACCCTGTAATCCATCATGAGTGGTTTTACCTGGCAGTGTATTTTAGTGTGCTCAAAACTTGTGTGGTTTTCTTTAGGAAAGTGTTATGGTATTATACTAATGTTCATAGTATTATAAATAATGCTGTGAACATTGATGTATGGATTATTATGTAGACTCATGTTTTTGTTTCTCTTCAGTTATACAGCTAGGAACGAAATTGCTGAGTTCCATGGTAACTATATAGAACTTTTTATGGAGTTTCCAGAATTTGTCCAAAATGCACCATTGTGTATGTGTATTCAAAAGAAAATTTTAACCATCAATTTGTGTCTTAAAAGATAGAGGAAGAATAGTTTTTCATTAACAAATGGAAATATGATCAAGCTTAAAGCCTTTCAAAATGTATATTAAGGGCTTGGCGCCTATAGCTCAACCGGCTGAGGCGCCAGCCACGTACACCTAAGGTGGCGGGTTCAAATCCCCAGCCCGGACCCGC